GGCCACAATGGAGGATCCAAGTTTTACATAGATATATATAGGAAAATATCTTGAAAAAAAATTCTTCTTAAGAACAGTAAAGCCAAGATTGGTCATATTTATATGGAAGCATCCTCAGGTAGTGTAGATTCATGTTTCTTCAAATCATGACCCCTGGGGGTAGGGTGGGGCCACAATGGGGGATCAAAGTTTTACATAGAAATATATAGGAAAATATCTTTAAAAATCTTCTTCTTAAGAACAGCAAAGCCATGATTGTTCATATCTTTATGGAAGCATCCTCAGGTAGTGTAGATTCAAGTTTGTTCAAATCATGACTCCCAGGAGTAGGGTGGGGTCACAATGGGGGATCCAAGTTTTACATAGAAATATATAGGAAAATATCTTTAAAAATCTTCTTCTTAAGAACAGTGAAGCCAAGATTGGTCATATTTATATGGAATTATCCTCAAGTAGTGTAGACTCAAGTTTGTTCAAATCATGACCCCCGGGGGTAGGGTGGGGCCACAATGGGGGATCCAAGTTTTACATAGAAATATATAGGAAAATATCTTTAAAAATCTTCTTCTTAAGAACAGTAAAGCCATGATTGATCATATTTATATGGAAGCATCCTCAGATAGTGAAGACTCAATTTTGTTCAAATCATTATCCCGGGGATAGGTTGGGTCCACAATAGGTGATCAAAGTTTACAGAGGAATATATAAGTCTTTTTCTCAAGAACAGAAAAGCCATGATTAGTCAAATTGATATGGAGGCATCTTTGGGTAGTGTAGAATGAAATTTGTTCAAATGAGGGCCCCCGGGGGTAGGGTGGGGCCACAATGGGGGATCAAATTTTTACAAATGAATATATGGGAAAAAAATCTGCTGCTCAAGAACAACAAAGCCATTTGTTATATTGATATGAAAGCATCATTAAGTAGTTTAAAATTCAACACCCCCCTCCTTGTAAACTTTTAAATACTATACTGATTTTTGCTTTTTTTTCCTAGCCAATGTGCTCAGGTGAGCAATGTGGCCCATGGGCCTCTTGTTTTACATTGAATTTAAGAGTAGCAAATTTTAAACGAACAACCGACTTAACAAATTTTAGTCGATAGTCAATATGATTGAATGATAGTCGAGTACTCGAATATTCATTGACACCCCTAATGAAACCATCAAACAGAGTTCAAAGATACTGTCACATTTTCCGTGTATTTTTTGTAAAAAGTACTCTATTAAATAGATGTTTACATGCAGTCAATTTTGAGGATGTAATTACAAAATATAATATAAATAGGGATTAATTAGGAGTTTTTTTTCATGATTTCACAAAGGAAATGCACATAACTTATACATGTAAAAAATTTATTAGGGATGGCAATGGTCAACTGGGTAACCATCTAATCAGTCAGAAATATAGTAACCGGTTTAGTATGGGATGACGGGTTATGATTTTCATAACCAGTTAGTCGGTATTTTTTGTATAATAAGTACTTTTTAAATAATATACCAGTATACATATTTTTTTTTTAAAATTACCACTAAGATCATGTAGATAGCATGTGTAAAACTAGTCTCATTCAAGCAGATGCTCGACTGTCTCCATAAACTCCTGCTCGTTGGAGTTTACGGAGACAGACAAGCATCTGCTTGAACGAGATTAGTTTAAAACTGAAAAGTTGCTATCGACTTATTAAATTATTCACAATATACAGCCACTGTGAAAACAAATCCCCATTATTTTGTCATTACAGTAAAACATGCTTATAAGTGCCAGGGACAAATAATTTTGATTCATTATAAATGTATTCATTTTTCAGTTTAGTTTTCAGTATGTTTTAAAACCACAGGGAATGAAAATCACTTTACTATACGCTTCAATTCCTTATTTAAGTCTGTTCGCAGTAAGCATGTTTTACTGTATAACCCAAATACCACTCTAAGTTTACATACCCATAACATAAAAAATTCTATATTCTAATTTCAAGAAATAATTTTTTACTAAACAATGTTTTACATGGTAATTAATCTAGTTCATTATCTGTAATGGTAGCCTAGTTGTAGGGCATTCATTTTGTAATCAGGAGGCCTGGGCTTGATTCTCATTTGCTGTGTCAAACCTAAGTCATAAACATATAGGTAGTGAAGGTTCCTCCACCAAGTGCCCAGCATTAGAATGAAAGTCAAAGGTTTTTCAGATGAGACCTTAAAAACCTCACAGTAGATGTTGGGACAATAAAGAACCCTCACTGCTCAATGGGCCTTAGTGCCAAGTATTAAGGTCTATGTTTGAAGCCCTTCACCAGTATGTGGTAATGTCTCTATACGAGAGAAAAATTCTCAAGTAAGATGTAAAACAACATACAATCAATCAAAGTGTCAGTAAGAAGCTGATCCTTACGTCGCAGGTTCGAATCCCACAGCTGGATATGGAGATAGGTTCCTCAGATGGAACCGTATGAACCAAGGTTCTGTGTCACAGAAGGTGCTGGCATGAAAAAGATCCCTCACTTCCCAAAGGCCATAAGTGTCAAGTACAGGTCTATATTTGCAGGCCTCCACCAGCAAGTGGTGGCAAAATAATATGACTAAAAAAAATTTGAAGGGGCAATAAACAAAACACAAATCAATCCTGCAGTCTTATCACAGAAATAATTCAAACTTTTATGTATAAATATATTTCCAAATTTCTTTTGCAATTTAACTGAGTGACATTTTTGAGATTTTCCAATAATAATACACATTTACTAACTGGGTTCGAGGGCAACATGTGTTTTGTCGGACCCAAGAACCAAACTGTTTGCCTGAGGCCATTAGGCCAAAGGGAAACAGTTTGGTTCAAGGGGTCAGCAACTTGCATTTTACCCCGAGAACACGGTCAATAAATGTTTTGATATATCTTTTACTTTCTTTTTTTGTTTGACATACATGTATTTTGTAGTGGCTTCCATGATGTAAATTCTAACCTTCATTTCCATGGTGCACGTCAATCATATATTAAAATGTCACCGTGAACTCTTTCATCACTCGCTACATTTATCACAGAAAACTCCGACACGGAAGACTGTTCATCGCTGTTAATGTGATCGTCAGAATTTCCTCGTAAACAATTTGCGCAAGAATATATATATCCCTTTAAAACTAATGCTCCCTGTACGCAACCAAGGATTTTATGTGCTTCGAAGATGTGGATTAAACCTGCATGTCTACATACGGCTCGTACGTTAAGAAAATGTACAACTGTCAACTTCACATATTTTCATTTCATAATTCATTTTCTGTCTGTAATTCCGACTGGCATGGCTACTTCCGGGGACGTACTAAAGACTTGATATACTAAAGACCTGATATTCGACCTGATGATTTTTCAAAAAATAAAATAATCAGATTGAGTGTTAGACATGATTTATTTTTAAAAATTATTGATTATGAAGCATTATGCTGTGCTAAACTACACTTTTTTTTAAATATTTGCCAACAAAGCATCAGATCATATCACGTTTTTCGTATATCGGGTCTTTAGTATCTTCTTCCCACAATGCCGCTCGTGATTGTTTACATCCAGGTTACAAACAAGAGGCCCCGATTAAGACTCTTTCTATACGGATGCATTTGTAAATGTTGATTTACCTTTACTTGTGTAAATAACTTGCATTTATAAACGATTTAAATAACAGAAAACAGAGAAATCGAATCAAAACAATTTATTTAAAACACAACAACTATCTAAAACCGTACAAGCATGTTTTACGATGCCCTAAAAGGCGTGGCTGGTTTGTAGGCAACTTGTTCCTGTACGATTCTCAAATAATTATTATATAAAATAGAATAAAATATAGCACGGAGCTTGTTTCTCTTTATACCACATGACAAGATTTAATATGTTAGAAATTATGTCATTCAAACTTTTTCATAATATTTTTAATATTTTTAGCTATCCAAAAAATACTTTTATGACCTGCTGTCCCCTGAATATAGGGGCCAGCCCCTTTTTCTTGATGTTGTCTGAAAGCTCTCGTAATTACACACAACTTTTATTCTATATGTCTTACCAAATTTTTATCAGTTTAAAAGTTATTAAACAAAAAGCAGCAAAATTTCATGGAAAAATAATTCTTAAAACTTGCCGTCACATAGCTTCCGAACTTAAAAAAAATAGCCTACAATTTTAATGTTCTGCGCATCTGCGATGTATTAGTTACAAGTTCTCCAGTTTTCATGCAAATATCATGTGTCGTTATTGAGAATTCTACTGGACAAGAGACCCTCCAAATATCGATTAAAGGGCAATAACTCATGAACGGGGGTATATATCAAAAATTTGAAAAAACAGTTTTAAGGTAATAATACATTGTATCTACCCTGAAAGTTTCATAGCAATCGGACAAAAGGTCTCCGAGAAATCGCCTGCTGAAAATCGGCGGGAAAAAAAATAAAATAATAAGAAGAAACAGTAGAATAACAGTAGAGTCTTCCGGAAGCTCGGAAGACCCTAATAATCTTAACCATCAGAATCAGTAGAAGGTCTTCCGCCTGGAGCGGAAGACCTTAATTAAAATGTAGGTCATTTTGACCTCTTCTTGGATTTTTACACCTCTATGCCTGAAGATACATCAGCTATATGTACATGTATCTACATATCATTTATTCAATATCTGTACATAGGTTAAAACATTTAAATTAAATCATTAAACGGAGGTCTCTGTCACCTACTTTGTTACAAAGTGAATCATCTGAAAATGTTTAATGATCCCAGGCCTCCTCTCAGATTTTTTCAATTGCCTCCCATTGTCAAAGGTCGATCCCTATATTTTTATTCAAATTTTAAAAATATTGGCCAAATAAAGGGTTCTTGAGATATAGCCAAAATTCCAGAAAGTTTACACACCCGCACATATAACGAATGGCCATATAGGTCATTGTAACGTATATAGGCTCAGAGGAACTAATTTAAATAAATCTGTTTCATAGGTTGAAATGAAATGATTAAACATCACAAAATTGAAAATACCTGGCTGCTCAGATTCTATTGAAGTCATCATGAGTTTTTGTCATCAATTCCACATCTGCAGCAGCATTGAAACACCCATCTCTCTTTTTACAAATCAACACTCTGAAACAAAGAAATTAAAGTTAAGGTCAACTTCCGGTTGGGGGTAGGATTAAACCAGAGACTTCCGAGTATTCCATTTCGAGGTCTCTGGTTTAATCCTTCATTTATAACCCCAACCGGAAACTTGTATCCCATCTAAAGTCTTAATACATGTATGTATCGAGGTAATTTTCGAGGAATAAATGAGTGGTTTACAATAAAGAGGCGACCAGAGACGTCTGAAAGGATTTATTTGACAAGAAAAAAAGTCTCTCAAAGCGAACGATATAATTTTAAAGTAGGTTAATGATTGATATATGAACAAAATACGAGCTTGAAGCGGGGATGCCTGAAATTGAGTTAGGTACCTTGTGGTAAAAATAAGTAAGGGTACCCCGTATACGAAACAAGTGCCTGTGGCTCTACATGCATATACGAAACAAACGCCTGTGTTTTAAACGTCGACATTGATTTCATCACATAAATTATGCATCTTGCATCTAAATGGAAGTTGCAAGGCAAGTGTCATTATGTCATCCAGAGATTGCTGCAGCGAAAAATGCTCTCGAACACAACAGGCACGTAGTATTCAAGAGGGGGAGGGTGCCTTAAACTTTTTTCAAAGAAAAAGGTAATAATAAAGGATATAAATTTACATTCAAAGGCTGCAATTAGCCTTTTTGTTTCCCTTCGAATAGAGAGCGGAACCTGTCCCCACCCCATTCCCCCACGAAATACTTTTTTTAAGTTTATGTGGGACTGAGAGTTGTCTGGATCTCCACTCCACTTGCATTTTCAAAATCTATAAATTCTCAAATTAAACACACTAAATAATGACAAAGCAATATCCATTCCCGGCTTCTAGGAAAAACTCCCCTGCAAATAAATGGTATATTTGACCCTCCCTATTTTTGCTGAATTGACCTAATTATACCATATTAATGTTATTACAATCTAATGCTGATCCTTTCATTTTCAACAAAACATTAAGTATTTACTAAAGAAAAATATTGTAATCATTTAAATCATTAAATTAAATTTACCCTGGTCGACTTTTCCCCTCTCCTCTGTGAGGCGTTGAGCAGTTGACACCACAAAAATGATCTGATATATTTTTGTCAATCAAGTAATTTTTTTCCGCGGTAACAGGTATCTTTTGTACTTGAGCTACCTTATGAACATACCTTAGTCAAAAATAATCAATAATTTTACCAATTCAAAGTTGAACATTTAAAATACTTGCCTGTATTCGTAAACACATGGTTGCATTTTAAAAAAGCTTTCAGTCAACGTATAGGTCTTTGATTGCATGCGACATGCAGGCTTTGTATTGATTTTCTTATCGTCGGAGATATCGATCCTTACTTAGGCTTGGCTTTCAATATGTAAATCAATTCTACAAGTGCAAATAAACGCGCATTAAAGGTGCAATGGATTTTTTCCTTGTTTACACAGAAAAATTCAGAGTATTAAGGTCATACGCAACTTTAATGACATGTACACGTACATTAAAACGTACCTTACTAGGTATTGATAATTTTTCAAGATTTTATTTACTCAAAATAAAGTATCATTAGTATAGATATTCTTAGACAAAACAAAATCAGTATTCGTTATCTTGGATTTTGAGCAGATAATAAATGATGGAAATCCTTTTGTTATTCAAAGAAAAATTAACAAAACTAGAGCAGAGTTCGTTGCAAAGCAACGAGTAGTTCTTCCGTCCATTTTTTTGTATCAATGCCCGTAGGTAGAATTTGTGAAAGAATGCTGTGCTGTTTGGCGAAAAATGGCGTCAGTGTGTACTTGTATTTGTAAATTTTGATACTTAAAATTTATGCCTATACGTGGGGCATTTCAAAAGTTCTGGCAACTGGTGTGCGGTAAATTAATTAGCGTCATTATCATTAATTAGATTATATCAATCCCTCAAAATAGTCTCCGTTGACCTGGACACACTTTTTCAGTCTTGAAATCCACGTGAAAAATGCTGCCCTATAGTCCTCTTTCGGCATACGCTTCATACACTGGAATACGGCACTTCCGACTGCATGACGACTTTCAAATCGCCGTCCTCGGAGGGCTTCTTTGATAACGGCATTCAACCAAAAATCGCATGGAGCTAGGTCAGGACTGTAGGGTGGATGTGGTAAAACGGCAATACCATTTTCCTTTAAATATTTGGTTACTACCTCTGATCTATGTGCAGGTGCGTTGTCATGGAGGAGCTTTATTCCTCTAGTACTGGTTGTTGGTCGGGTCGTTTTATAGTGCTCTACAACCTGAGACAAGACATTCTCTGCATAAAATTGACCAGTAACACTGCTGTGTTCTGGAACCGGAACTTGAGCAACAGGGCCTTTAGAATCAAAAAATAAGGCGTACAATACTCTCCGGACAGACCGGTTTCTGCGTGCAATTTGAGGCCTTGTATCATTTTCACCGATCCAAACTTTATTATTGAGCTTAGTTTCCGGTTCAAAAAAAATATATCCATGTTTCATCACCAGTTACAATCTCATTTATTCGCCTTTGATCACAATCTTCATAAATTGTTAGTAACTGTGAAGCCATTTCTACCCGGATGCGCTTTTGCTCTTTCTGAGAGAAGATGCGGCACCCATCTAGCACAGACTTTCCTAAGCTTTAAGTTTTCCTTTAAAATACCAAAAACTGCTGACGATCGAATTAATGTTAGTTAAGTCTGCTATTTCCCCAACTGTATATCTAGCATCATCAGCTATCGTATTTTGAACAGCGACGATTTCTTTTTCGCCATATGCACAAACTGGACGCCCCGAACGGGGGTCATCTTCAATTGATTTTCTACCCTTTTTAAATTGAACTACCCATCTTGCTATTGCTCGATATGAAAGAGCATGCTCTCCATATATACTACATCTAAATCGGCTTTTATTTCCGTTGCCGTAAAGCCAAGCAATGAGCGAATTTTGCAATACGCTCTTTGCTCAACAAAAAAAATTGTTCTCCTTATCAGTCATTTTTACGCCCAGTATACAGAGTATACCTAATTATGACTTCATTTTAGCAGACCTATACGTCATTTTGAATGTAAAATGACGTCACTACGAATGCATATTTGCCTAAGCTTTACAGTGGTATCAGAGTCATTTTGATCCGTAACGTAGTTAAAATTTTATATACCAGTTGCCAGAACTTTTGAAATGCCCCTCGTATATGGGAAATTAATCAATTGATGATAGATGTAGTTTCCGGTTTGACCGGAACAGAATCAATCGACGTAAAATAGGGCCAGATGTACTCTGTGATGTTAATCAATAAGTTTTATATCGATATCTGCAAAAATAAGCGATTTTAGACTATGTTCGGTTTTTACTGAAAGTTACTAAAGCGAGTAACCTCGATTAAAAATAAGGTGGGACATCTTCTCTGACATTCATTATTCAATTCCAAGCTAATATCTGCTAAAATAGCGCATTTATACTACTTCCTGTTTGGCCGGAAGTCACGTCATTCAATGGTTTCTGACAATCTTATTAGCTGCTAAATGTACTCAGTTTGAATATCTTTGTTTTAATAATGTATCACAATGCAAATTCTCAATATTTTTTTTAGATATTAAGGAAACAATTTTGGCCCTCTAGATCCTTAATTTTAGGGACCGGCCTCTTTTTTTCTGATACTACATGTTTTAACAAATTATTCATAATTAATGAAATAATTAAGAAAACGTACACAACTTTTGAAATTCTCGATTTGCCTTTTCTCGAACAATAGCGGGCGTCAACGTTAGGGACTTCCGATGGAAGTGAACTACCTTCTACATTGTACATATCTACATATGTTGCTCTATCTTCGCTGAAAATTCACATTACTGTGTAAAGTTGTTTATTAGAAAACTTGTTGTTTTTTAGAAAACTTTTAGACAAAATGACCCTCAAAAAATCACTTAATTGCAGAAATGTTCGATCCGGAAGTGTCGCCGTAGATAGATAGATAGATAGATAGATAGATAGATAGATAGATAGATAGATAGATAGATAGATAGATAGATAGATAGATAGATAGATAGATAGATAGATAGATAGATAGATAGATAGATAGATAGATAGATAGATAGATAGATAGATAGATAGATAGATAGATAGATAGATAGATAGATAGATAGATAGATAGATAGATAGATAGATAGATAGATAGATAGATAGATAGATAGATAGATAGATAGATAGATAGATAGATAGATAGATAGATAGATAGATAGATAGATAGATAGATAGATAGATAGATAGATAGATAGATAGATAGATAGATAGATAGATAGATAGATAGATAGATAGATAGATAGATAGATAGATAGATAGATAGATAGATAGATAGATAGATAGATAGATAGATAGATAGATAGATAGATAGATAGATAGATAGATAGATAGATAGATAGATAGATAGATAGATAGATAGATAGATAGATAGATAGATAGATAGATAGATAGATAGATAGATAGATAGATAGATAGATAGATAGATAGATAGATAGATAGATAGATAGATAGATAGATAGATAGATAGATAGATAGATAGATAGATAGATAGATAGATAGATAGATAGATAGATAGATAGATAGATAGATAGATAGATAGATAGATAGATAGATAGATAGATAGATAGATAGATAGATAGATAGATAGATAGATAGATAGATAGATAGATAGATAGATAGATAGATAGATAGATAGATAGATAGATAGATAGATAGATAGATAGATAGATAGATAGATAGATAGATAGATAGATAGATAGATAGATAGATAGATAGATAGATAGATTCTATCAGACCTGAAAGTTTATGAAATTTGAGCAAGCCGTTTCCGAGAACTTGCGAGCACAAAATCGGTAAGACAACAAAAATGGAGGGCTTTTCAACCGGTTTAAATCAGAGTTTAAGGAGAGATAAATCTTAC